CCACTATATGAAAATACAGAAAGAACTAAGAAGTCCACACGTCCCTACCCTTCAAATTAAACACGATTTTTCACATTTTACTCGTACCTCAAATGCAGCTTGAAATAACAGACTTATATATATAAATGACAAAACCCTACACAATGGAAACTAAAAAATTCCACGTTTAACGACCCCCTCGTAAAACGAAGGGGTAAAATGAACAAATAACTGAGAGACATCAACGTTCGTCTTTCTCCATATCCCTGTTATTCTCTCGTCGATGGAACACTCGATTAACATCGACTTAACATTGCCCACTCAACCTATTAACGCTCTCTCTGGTCGTCCAAGGAACAGGGCTACAACCTGTTTCCAACCCTACGCGTCCTCTGCCACCTCCTTATCCGCTATTAAACGGTGTTCACAGTTCGCGAGTCAAATTGAATTCCAGGTTACTGACAGATTCCCAATAAGCTCTAACAATGGAGTCTGTTACAAGAGCCTTCCTACTTTCTGCCACCTCTCTCGCCACGCCAGCTGTGTAGGTTAAGGGGTGGTGGCTCGGCGTGAAGCTCTCCGCTCTTTTTCTTCCTCGGTTTCCTTCAATTTCCGTGGCCAGGAAAGCCATGGCGCTGCAAGGTCTCGGAAATTGGAAATAAATCGCCATTGATATCGATGCAAAACGCGCCACGCTGATCGTCGGCCACGACGGAACCTTTGTTCAGCTCCGCGTGTTCGTGTATGGAAACTCGAAAGGGATGCCTCGAGATTTCGGGTGCTTCTTGCTTTCGCCCACGACAAAAGCAGAGAGCACTTGGATGGCTGTAATTTATGGATGTTTCGCAAGCAACTGATAAGGAGTCCTTTCTTCCTCGCAGATATTATACAATTTTTCTGATCGAACGAGACGTTTGTTGCTCTTATTAGTCGTTGCTATATCTTGGCAGAGAATTGCTGGAATTCCAAATTCCAGAAGTGGAGGGAAAATGTTTCCGTGGAATTTAATTATTAGCATCGCAATTTTTCTAATCCAATTAGACGTTTGTTACCTTTATTAGTTGTTGCTATACCTTGTGATAGAATTGCTGGAATTCCAAATTCCAGAAGTGCAGATAAAATGTTTCCGTGGAATTTAATAATTAGCATCGCAATTTTTTTAATCTAATTAGACGTTTGTTACCTTTATTAGTTGTTGCTATACCTTGTGATAGAATTTCTGGAATTCCAAATTCCATAAGTGCAGGTAAAATGTTTCAGTGAAATTTAATAATTAGCATTGCGACTTTCCTGATTGAATAAGACATTTGTTACCCGTATTAGTCGTTGCTATATTTTGATAAAGAATTGCTGGAATTCTAGATTCCAGAAATGAAGGGAAAATGTTTCTGTGAAATTTAATAATTAGCATCGCAATTTTTCTAAACCAATTAGACGTTTGTTGCCTTTATTAGTTGTTGCTATATCTTGGCATACAATTGCTGGGATTCCAGATTCCAGAAATGGAGGGAAAATGTTTCTGTGAAATTTAATAGTTACCATTGCAATTTTTCTGATCGTATTACACATTTGTTATCCTTATTAATTGTTGCTATATCTTGGGATAGAATTGCTGGAATTCTAAATTCCAGAAGTGCAGATAAAGTATTTCCGTGAAATTTAATAATTAGCATCGCAATTTTTCTATTCCAATGAAACTTTATTGCTCTTATTAGTCGTTGCTATATCTAGGGATAGAATTGTTGGAATTCCAAATTCCAGAAGTGCAGGTAAAATGTTTCAGTGAGATTTAATAATTAGCATTGCAACTTTCCTGATTAAATAAGACGTTTGTTACCCGTATTAGTCGTTGCTGTATTTTGATATAGAATTGCTGGAATTCTATATTCCAGAAGTGAAGGGAAAATGTTTTCCTTTACCCGTATTAGTCGTTGCTGTATTTTGATATAGAATTGCTGGAATTCTATATTCCAGAAGTGGAGGGAAAATGTTTTCCTGAAATTTAATAATTAGCATTGCAATTCTTCTGATCGAATGCGACGTTTGTTACTCTTATTAGTCGTTGCTATATCGTGGGTTAGAATTGCTGGAATTCCAAATTCCAGAAGTGCAGGTAAAATGTTTCAGTGAGATTTAATAATTAGCATTGCAATTTTTCTGATCGAATGCGACGTTTGTTACTCTTATTAGTCGTTGCTATACCTTGACATAGAATTGCTAGAATTCCAAATTCCAGAAGTGCAGATAAGATGTTTCCGTGAAATTTAATAATTAACATCGCTGGTTCACGGAAATGTAAAGAATATTGATCTACCTGAAACGAAAATAATCAAAGCAGATAATAGATTAGTTCTGTAAATAACGAAATATTTTTTCCGCGCGGGAAGCCAAAGAAAAAATTTAATTCATTCTTTAAATGTTTGGAATAAGTTTCTGCTGTTATTTCGATGAATTTTCCCTGGCTAGGAAAACAGAAATTCGCGACCGTAGGAATCGGATAACTTTGAAAGGTATTACTACTATTACACGGAGTTGGACGGAAATTCGAACGGAGAATTCATAATTTTCTTCGTAATACTATAGGCCACACAGACCGAGTATTGGAAATGAAAATTTCTCGGGCAAGAAAATTCCAGCGACTTTTAGCATAAGAAGATTATAGAGGTCATGGATTATCTGATACAAGGTCATAATTAAGTACTTTCGGGGGACATGTTGATGCTACAAGAGTACACATGGCGTTGGTTATGAAAGAGAATAAGTATGGATGGCAAGGAATGGCTTTAAAAAGGAGAAAAATGAAATGAAGTATTAAAATAATACGGACGTGTGAAAGTTGGGGCATTTTAAATGTTTTATTTTCGTTAAAAATAACATTTCATACTTTTTCAGCGAAATATTCGTAAAGAAAATTAAAACGCGAGATGACTTATATTAATATATTTTATTCCGAGAAATTTTACATTCCATCTACCAGTGATTCCGAGTTATATTCATAGTAAAAGTCGTAGTAATAGGAAATTTAACCAAAGCGTGAAGCTAATGGGAAATTAATTATTTCAGGTAATTCTTACCTTATTTTTGTGGTATAAGTAAATTATATTAAACCTCTTTATACCTTTCTCTTCTCAAATTTAGTTAGATTATTATATACTATATTATTCTAAATGCTAATAATCTTAAATAATTATTTCTACTCGTAACAATTCGAAATTACAATTTTAATTTATTAAAAATTGTTTCTACATCGAGAGGAAATAACAAAGGTAGCTAATTCATAAACAATTACCTGTATGACTGCAAGGATAATTATATCGAACAGTAATATTGTGAAAATAGAGAAACTTTAAGCAACATTAACATCTAAATAAATGGAACTGATGCTGAAATTTGTATATTTTTATTTACAACACAGATCGGTCGATTGATAATGATTTACAGAAATTTCAATATTGATTCACGCAACTTGAGCATGAAACAAAATTTCGTTCTTGATAAATGACATATTTATAGTTACCTATAATCTTTATACTATATCATTTTCTACAACATTTTCTATTAAATGTATTTTTAAATAACTTTATAACAAAATATGCGGGAACTAAATTTGCCTAACGTAGTACATCATTTACCACCACAAACTTCTCGCAATCTCTCCGTTCTGTGAAGCGTTATTTCAGATAACAACCATATATTATGATATGGTAATTAGTTTGTGTTTACATGAATTTTGCTTCGTCATATTAAAAATCATAAATTGTATCAGAATGAAAAAATAATAAATATTTATTATTTCGCTATACATCTCTCTACATCTTTTGAATAAAACCGTATGATACGTAAACAATCTGTGCAATAGTGTAAGGTGATCAAGATAAATGCATAATCTCGTGTAATGACACGGTACATGATGGAAACTTAATTTCCTTCTAAACTATGACGTAAGCGCGACTTAATAGACGAAGCAATTTTCTCAAAAAATTATGTAGGATGCCATTCTGGGAAAAAGAAATTTCGAATCGGCCAAGGCTGATTTCAATTTATACAGGTTTTTGATTAAAACTTTTGACCCTTTGTACTCGACGATTTTTTTATTACATAAAAATGGTAATTCGAAGACTGTCTGCCATAAGATCGGCGATATTTTTGAATCAGTAAATAAGAAATCGTATGCAAATTAAGACATAGAATTATTTTTCTTCGACATCTTTTCTTCGACGCATTGTTGGGTAATTTTAAATTTGATGCATTAATTAATATCGGATTAATTAATTTAGGATCTGATTAAATGGGGACTAAGAGGCCTCTTGAGTGCAAAGGGTTAATTGTATTGACATTTTTGACTAATATCTAACAATTTTTCATAAATGAAGGGATCAGAACTTATTGAATTGCTACAGCCATTTCAATTTGTATAGATTTTTGATTAAAATTTTTAATTGTATCGACATTTTCGACTAATATTTAATAATTTTACATAAATGAAGGGATCAGAACCTATTGAATTGTCATATCCATTTCAAAGGCTTATCAGAGAAGCAAAGCGAACATCAACCGACATTGTTTAAATGAAAATATTCGCTTCTTCAAATTTATCCCCTCAAATTTAAATTAACTTTATATTACATATACAATTTCTTTCATATTAGAAAACTTGTCCATATAAAATTTAACACAAAGGAAAACGAAGCACGTATAACAAATATTACAATAGTCTTTCCCTTACATTGTCTAACACCCATACAAGGAAATAAATTTACTCCTTGCTTTCCTATCTCACACATCGACAAACGGTACTCATAGCCCACAAAACCAATTTTAATTTCAAATACTATTCCAACTTGTCCTATCCTCGATTAACCAGCAAGATAAGTTCAGTTCATACCAATTATGTTGCAATTCATTTAATCGTTCGAGAAAATAGTCAGATTGCACAACAGAATTATCTGCGAGAGATAATCGAACTGCCGCGTAATGAAATCGTGGAGAGAAACCAGGGTATTTGATATCGTTGAGCCGTTCCTGTGTGCAAAGCACATCGAGAACGTTGTGCGTCAACTGGCAGTTAGTCTTCCAAGCAATCAGAAACAGTGTGCATCGTGTGAGACTTGAACACACCAGCAGCAGGTCTGCACCTCCAAGATGGATTACCTCTCCATCGCTTTGTCTTTGACAGCTGTACTTGTCGCCCTGTATTACTACAGCACCAGAAAGCTCAGCTTTTTCAAGGATCATGAGATCCCGCACCTTCCACCGACGCCATTGTTTGGAAACCTGGGCTCGATGTTCGCGATGCGGAGCACCTTGTACGATCTTCTGAAAAAGATGTACTTCATGAACACCGAAGCAAAGTACATCGGCGTATACGAGTTCCAAACGCCAGTAATAATGATCCGTGACCTGGACCTGATCAAGTCCATCACCATGAAGAATTTCGAGCACTTCGCTGACCATCGTGTGTTAGTGCAGAAGGAGCTGGACCCTATGTTCTCGAAAATGCTGTTCTCCATGACAGGCGAGGAATGGAAGGAGCACAGGAACATGCTGTCACCCGCTTTCACCTCCAGCAAGATCAAGAACATGTTCCAGCTGATGTCTCGTTGCGCGGTAAGGTTCAGCAATTACATATCGAAGTTGCCGGAAAGCGAGCGTGAAACGGACATGAAGGCCTTGCTGTCCAAGTACACCAACGACGTGATCGCCAGCTGCGTGTATGGCATCTCGGTTGACAGCATCAAGGAGCCGAAGAACGTCTTCTACGTGTACGGCAGGATAGGTACAATGTTCACGACCTTCAAGAAGAGCATGTTCCTGATAATAAACAGGAACTTGCCCTGGATTGCCAAGCTCTTTCGCCTAAAGATGTTGGAAGGGTACGTAGAGAAATTCTTCGCCGAGATAGCGTTGAACGAGATCGAAACGCGACAAAGGAATGGGATACACCGGTCGGACATGCTTCAGATGTTTATAGATACGAATAACAAGAAGGAATCCGGCAAAGGTATGTCAGCGGAGAGCATGGCCTATCACGCTTTCAGCTTCTTCTTCGGTGGATTTGACACAGTGGTCTCGCAAACCTGTTTCGTGGCACACCTTCTAGCCGAGAATCCCGATTGCCAGGTCCGACTGCAGCAAGAGATCGACGAAGCGTTGGAGCAGAACGATGGACAATTGTCCTACGATATCATACAGAACATGAAGTACCTAGACGCTGTTATCAACGAAACCATGAGAATGTATCCGATCGCCGTGTTCGTGGACAGGTTGTGCTTGAAGGATTTCGACTTGCCACCCACGTTGCCTGGTTCTAAACCTTTCACCATCAAGCAGGGGATGAACATCTGGGTCCCTATTATACCGATCCAGATAGATCCTAAGTACTACGAGAACCCGGAGACGTTCGACCCCGATAGGTTCTTAGAGGATGGCAAGAAGATTATAAATTCGGGCGCGTTCATGCCGTTTGGCATCGGGCCAAGGATGTGCATCGGCAATCGGTTCGCGTTGATAGAGATGAAGGTGTTGCTCTGCCATATACTCGCTACGTGTAGCTTCAAAGTTGGGTCCCAGACTACGACCCCGTTGCAATTGCAGAAGGGGTCGTATAATCTGACAATGCAGAACGGATTCTTCCTAAAGATCGAGCCGAGGAAGAACCCATATTATTCTACCGAGGTCAGCGAGGTCAATGGAATCGCCAATGGCGGCGTAAATGGGGTTGCTAAAAGTGTAAATTAAAATTGGACGATATTCTATTGCTCATTATCTAACGTCAATTCGTATCTAATCCTGTGATTAATGAATTTTAAATTTATTTCTTTCCTGTTTTGTTTTGTTGTAAGAAAAATAAAAATTTTACACGATTCATTGGATGTTTGATTTGTCACGCTTGTAGTCTCGCTGAGTAGAATTTAATTAAAATAAGGGGAATTATGAGTTTTATGAGTTATTTATCGAACGTGTGAAATAAACATTTCACGCGTTCCTGGAACCTCTTCGGCGCAGGGTTTAACCACTTGCGCTGGAAAGACGTGTCACGCACGTCGTAATGCCTTTGTCACAGAATCGCCAACGACGTGGTATACACGTCGTTAGGTAATTGTTACAGAAACACTGGACCCTTCTGGCACACGTGCCTGTGAATTTCTTACCACTGCAAGTGGTTAAAGATAAATTTATTTCTCCTGAGAGATTAATTTTTGTATATAAGTTAAGACGTATCTTATTTTCAACAGCAATATTCTTAATACAATAATATACAACTTATAATTCCTAAAATAATTTCTCATCCCAGAACGAATAATATTTGTTGAGAAAATTTCTTTCTCCCAATTTTTCCCATTAACACTAGAACTACCAACCCAGTGAAAATGAATGGTCCCAGAATTTTCCTTTTTGCAATCACCGAACACATACACCTGCTTTAAGAATAAAATTGGTATCAACTCGTATTAAGAAAGAACTGTAATCGATATATTCACTCGTATTCATCGTACGGCTGAAATTACTATAATTTGTGCACGTTGTAGTTAGGTACCCATTAAAGATCGGTAATTCTAGTGTTAAACGGCACTTCATCGTCCTATTACTACCTGATGGAATATTCATACTGGTCAATGGACAGAGAATAATTGTGGTAAAAGGATCGGGTTTATAGAGATTTAACTTTAAATTTTGACTATATTTTATTCTCTTGCGGTACAAGTGTGCGGACGCTTGAGTCTTG